GAAAGAGAAGACTCTATAGTTAAAAAAAAAAAATCAGGGTGGCTTACTGGTATACTGGAACAAGAGAATGTACTCTGAAAATTTGGGTAAGATGGGGCGGCGCCTGTGGCTCAAAGGAGTAAGGCGCCGGCCCCATATGCCGGGGGTGGTGGATTCAAACCCAGCCCCATCCCCGGCCAAACAACAACAACAACAACAACAACAACAACAATTTGGGTAAGATACTTCTCTAATCAGTTTACTCATGTGTAAAACAAATACAATTTCAGGGCGCTGCCTGTAGTTCAAAGGAGTAGGGTGCTGGGCCCATATGCCGGAGGTGGTAGGTTCAAACCCAGCCCTGGCCAAAAACTTCAAAAAAAAAAATTACAATTTCTACTACTGGGTATTAAATAAGATACCACATGTAGGTTCACAGAACATCGTAGAATTCAACAAGTACACATGTTACCTTTTTTCTTCCATGAGTATTTTAAAAAGTAGTTATTAGACTAGATGGGGAAGGGAAATTGTCTCAGTTCTTTGCAACTTATGCTACTCATTGAATAGGCACTGCCTAAAATGGCCTTTAAGTGGCATTTTATATTTCGTCATTTTAGGAAATTCCCAAAACTTGGACTAAAATTATGCCTACGTATACTCCTATTTACCTGGTCACCTTTTCCTGGATAGCTAATCCTGCACAGTTGATGTGTGGTTAGAAACTCCTTCTTTGATGTGCCATTTTCCAGATTGGGGGGGGCGGGGGGCCTGGGCAAACACTGTGTGCCTCAGTGACTGTGTTTATAAAATGAAATAACTATACCCCTCCATTGAGTTGCCATGAAGGTTAAAGAAAATAACCGATGGGAAGTGTTGGGATCAGTGTCTGGCACGTGGTAAATACTCTATGAGAGTCAGCAATAAGCCATACTATTATCACTAGTACCGCTATTACCACCACTACCCCATGGCAGTCTCTGTAAGAAGGTTTTTAAAACTTTCTTTGGTGTTTGGCAAGTAGGGTATTGTGCTCTACCTGACTGGCACCGGAGTAATATGTATACTTTTCCACGTTACTTCCATGGCACCTGGCTTGCAGCCACTCCTGCAGAACACTCATTCAGTTTGCTTTATGTATGTTCGTCCTCTCTTCAATTGCTTACCCCTGAGGATAAGGGTGAGCCTCTGCCTTCTTTCTACCCCTCCTGGTGCCTGTTTGATTGCTCAGTATATGGTAAGGCCCCAAACCTGCTTGCTGGATGAATAATGAAGTGAATGATATTATGACTGCGTGTGGGTAACTGAACTGTCAGAATGCCAGTTTAGAGGGATGGCCCAGGCCAGTGACTGGAGGTCTTAGTGTGGTCCCATGAGACTTTTCTCAAAGTAAGTGATCAAGGTAAGAAAAAGGAAAATAGTGAAAGAAATCTAAAACGTAGATTCATAAGCATTGTACAATTTTGTCTAGGTAGGGAGCCTAACAATGTGTTGGGGCACGGGATCACATATCCACAGTGGTCCCTCAGAATCAGTCTAATTCCCTGAGCTTCTCTGTACCAAGCAAGTTTGTCTTGTATAGGGTACACGTGTGGCCCACGGGGCCCTGATTTTCTTGGAGAGAAGTTGACATAACGATAATGACAGCAGCAGAAAAACCCAGTCAGGTCACTAGGAAATAAGTTCAAGTTTTCGCCTGTCAGGGACATTTGGTCAAGACTGTCAATTGTTTTCCTTATTTTTTCATCTGTCCATCAAAGCCCGTAACAGTCCCATTGCCCCCTCAGTGCCATGTTGCCCTGTCTGCAGAGTGCTTGCCACCTCTGATTCTCAGTGTCTCTGTGTAGCTTCTTTCCAACAGCTCAGGGGAGCCCCCAGCCCAGTGTTTTTGACCTTGTTCAATTCCTGCTTCTTTCTGATAGATAAGAATCTCACTCACTCTTCCAAGGACACTGGTACTGGCTCCTTGGGGGTATTCCCATCTTAATTCCTGTCCCCCACTCCTGTTCTTTTTGCATATATCTATTGGTCAAGAAGCCTTTTGTCTAGTGCTACTCGGTATGGTGTGTATGAAGAAGAACAGACTTTCCTTAAATGTGAAATATTAGAATACTGAATATCCTTTTTGAAACTAGTCTCCCCTTTGGTCTCATTTACTGAGAATCTGTTCTCACCATCAGCTTAGCAACAACAGACTAGTATTGCTTGTCATGAAGTAAAGGTGGGAAAATCTTCCCCACAACTAGCACAAAATTACCCCCAGGGGGCCTAGCAAATTCTTTGCAACCTGGCCTTGCTTTTCAAGGAAAAGAGAGGCCTTCCTTCTTGGTTAGCTAGTGATTGCTGTCCTCTTATTCTGTACGGATTTCATGTATTTGTTCCCCAGCTGACATGGAGCAAAACAGCATGTCAATGTCTGGGTTGAGGACCAGGGATGGAGAGGACATGGACCAGGCTATGGAGGAGCTGGGGAGAACCTTGGGAAGGCCTTCAGCCAAGCACCTCCCACCGCTCCATGCTTGCCTTAGTACTTTTCTTCCTTCCCTTGAAGGAGAATTGCAGAATAACCATTCATATAAATCCAATACAAATAAAGGGGATGTATTTTTAGAATATCCTCCCATCCACATAGTGAACCCCTCCCACCAACAATGTGTCTGTGTTCTCTTTCTCGCTATGTACATAAATACACTCTCCTGAGCCAATCCAGTAAAATGTCTGTACCATGTTATTAAATCTCCAGAATGTATTTGGTTTAAGGTCTGCTTACTGGCTATAAAGAGCATGGGAAACCTGATGGTGGGGAGTTGAGATCGCCGTGGGACCGCAGGCTAACTGGAAGCATTTATGTGAAACTATGCAGTGGAACATAATTACTCAATCCCACCCTTTCTACACCATATACTTTGACCTTCCTGGAATGACTAATATCTTCTTTCTGTTTCACCAAACCAAAGGCTTCAACTGCTGTTCTGAAACTATTACTCTGACAGTATCACAAATTTAAATTATAATACATTTTTTTTTCTGGTTGGAAAGCTATGCACAAATAGAGATATAAAAAAAATTAAATAAACTAACACCATTAAACTAAATGAGACAGGATTTCCAAATAAACATTTCTTTTAATCTAATTATCTACATATTTTTATTGTAATAACTCTTGGCATATATAAGGCATTTATACTGTGCCAGGCAGTGTGCCAAGCACTTTCTCTATTTTATCTAACTTCATCACAATAACTATATGAGGTATAAAGTAGGTATCAATAAATTTTCTAAACCTAAGTTTCTTTATCTGCAGTTTGGACATGTGTAACTTAGCCAAGGTCAGGAACTTGAAATTTCACTGGGATCATCGGACTGAAAGCCTGCCAGCTCACACATTTTGCTGCACTGCGTTTCGTCTTTCACGGAATGTATAAGACATTGCGCAAGGTCTCAGGATTAATTGTAAGAGTCCCTGAAACACAAAAAAAAATTTCCTAATTTTTTTGGGATGAGAGTTACAGAAAACCAGTTGTGTGTGCTTGTCTTTTTAGACTGAACAGATAAAAAAATACAGGATGTCCAGATCAATTTGAATTATACATGAACAATGACAAATTCTTTAGTAAAAATACATCTCATGCAATATTTGGAATATTTAAAAATTTACTCATTGTTTATCTGAAATTCAAATTTAATTGAGGCTGCTTGCCAGTAAGATCTGGCAATCTTACTGTTAAGTCGAGCATTTCATTCAGGGACTTTCCTGAATGAACAGGTGGAGACATTGCTTCCCTGGGGTTAATTCCAAGCCTGTAGATACGCAAAGCTTTCCCCCTGCACGGAGTCTCTCCTGGTCTGCCTTATCCCCTAGTCTTTTGAGGATGTGCCCTCTTTCTCATGGAGGCTACATTTTACACCACAAGATCTTCATATAGTCTGGCTCCCCCCGTCTTTCCCCCTTTTTGAGAGTGTGAGTAGGTATCTCTCTAAAGGACCATCTTTGTGCTCCTTATTTTTCAATGTCAGTAATTAACATATGCACTTATACTAATAATTAATAGAAGTAATAGCAATAATCCTGACTTCAGTGGTGTTAGAAAGTGTCAATCCACAGAACTGCTTTAGTTGTAGGTTACTGTAACCACAGCTGTGTGCGTGTGTGTTGTTAGGTCAGTAGCTCTTTCCTTTCCCATGAACTTAGGTGACTTCATTTTCCTCCTACTTAGCGTCTCTCCAGCTCTCACGCACTGACGCACTGGACACGCTGTTGTCTGTCTTGGCTCAGGGACTCAAATCATTTATACTGGATTTTTCCTCCTCCACCAAATTTCTACATTTGGGCTATGATTTCAACTTAAAAGCTATTGTTAGTTATTCAAACAGTATCTTTATTACTGAATGCTAATAAAAGTATTATTAATAGCATATCCTGATCATCTTTACTTTGGGAACAGGGCTTGACTTTACATAGGCACTAGTTGCTTCTGGAATATAACGGCTCATTCTCTGCTCTGGGATTTCCTAGAGTTTCTGTCATGGACAGTCACCCTCACTCACGCCCTCATCTTCCTCTGTCGCAGAAGACCTATGTTCTAATTTGAGACAAAAGTTTAGGTCCCTAAGTATTGTTCCCACTGTCCTGAGAGCGCAGAGGAGCGGGAAGCCAGGGACAGGGCACACACATTCAGTGCTGTGGCTGGACACAAGGATTCTTGGGACGCACCAGAGGCAGACAGTCATTGATGGGGGCTGCGGTTTCCCCCAGAGAAAAGCCTCTCACTCTACTCAGAGCACCAACATTAGCTTCTGCCAGATGGAACAACCAAGTTCCAAAACCTCAGCTTTCAACTCTCAGCTTCTAAATCGAACTTACAAAGTACAGTAAGAAACTTTCTTTCAAGTTTCTGAAGTGATCTAGGCCAGGTGACACTCTCAAGGCAGGGGGGAGGAAAGGAGGCAGGACAGGGACGAGGAGGGCACTGCCCACCGCGCAGGTGCCCGGCAGGGTGGCGGTGGCGGGGACACGGTACCTGGGCAGCCGGCGGCGGGCGTCCCGGGGCCACGCGGGGCTCGCTAGTCTCCAGCGGGTCCTGCCTGCCAACCGCTGAGCTCCCTTCAATGTCAAACGGGAAAGCGTTGTAGTCCCCGGACGCGGCGCCGGAGCAGGCAGCGCCCCAGAGGAGCCAAAGGGGCAGGACGGAGCGCCAGGCTGAGCTCAAAGCCATCTCTCCGCGGACATCCAGCAGGGCTCTTCCCGGCGCTCGGGGACCGGCGGCCTTCGTGGGTCCCCCCCGTGGCGCGGCGCTGCCTCGCTTATGCTACCTCCTCTCGGTCTGCAGTGTCCGAGTGTGGCAGCCCAGCCAGCAACTTCGTAAAAAAAAGGGGGGGGGGGGTGGAGGGAGAGTAAACGAAAGTCTGAGTCTCTCCCTCTTTCCTCCTTGCCCTTTCTCTCTGCTCCCTCTCCCTCTCTCGCTTGATCCCTGTCCCCAGAGCCACTAGCTCAAGGACCTACAGAGCGATGAAGCTTTAAGCCCAGCATCAAACAGCAGAAGGGTGGGGGTGAGCCCCGCCGCCACCCAGCCGGCCACCTCCTGTCCCCGTTGGCGGTCAAGACTGAGGACGGTACTGTTCTGGCGCTGTTCCCACACTCGTTCTCACCACTCCCTTTTACCTTGCAGGTCCAGGCCCTCCCACTCCAAGTTGGCTTTGCAGACTCTGAGGTCCGGCCTTTCCTGGCCGCCTCCCCTCCCCTCCGTGTTTGGAGCCCCTCCAAGGGCCCCGATGAATATTCAGCTTTTGCGATGGCTTCCTCACAGCTCTTGTTTATTTCGTCAAGGTGCCAGATGTCTTATCTATATTTATGTAGTCCTTTTATATGACCCCACAAGTTTGCCGGAAAGTGGGTGGAAAAGGGGATTTCAGGGCCGGAGCCAGAGGTAGGGATCTCAAAAAGCAGAGGGGCAGGGTGCCGGCTCTCTTGAGTGGGGTTTTTCATTTTCTGGAGACAGACCATTGCACCCTTGTGCAGAGAGCACCTCTCCCGGGATTCGGGGGCCACCCCTCTTCCTCCCGACAGTTCTCACCCAGAAAGCTTGGAAGAAGAATATCTTTCACTGCAGCACTGGAAAATGACTTCATTACTCAAATGCATGAACTTTTATTTACAAAGAACATCTTGTTTTCATCCTAAAGAGGTGCTTTGTAAAGAACCCAGAACAAGGCTTGCAGTGTCTGAGCCTGTCAAATATACTGCCCACAGCTCCGACCTCTTCCTCTTGGCTGGTAATTTCATGCCCACTAC